GCTTTTATCCAAAGTGATTTACAAATGAGGACAATAGAAGCAATCAAAACCAACAAAAGAGCAGTAATATGCAAGTGCTATATTAGTATATTATTATAGTATTATATTTCAATTTCACAAAGAAATGTGCAGCATTTTGTCCAAGCAATAATAAAAGGACACATTTAATTTATAATTTGTCTTAAATCTAATTTTGTTAAAAAAAATTATAATAATCGTGAATCGAATCGAATCGTGAGTTGAGTGAATCGTTACATCCCTAGTGGGCACAGAATTCATTACATGAAAGCTTTCAACATTTGATGCATTCACAAAAAAAAACACGATGCACTGTCAGCATTTGACAGCGACTTCATATACATTTTACCCAATAAAATAATGAGTCAGATCTTTATTTTTTGCAATTGTTTCTGTTTACAGGGTTTGTACGGGTTCTTGAATTTTAATGCAGTGTTTTCAAGGTTTGAAAAATGCTTGGATTTTGGGTAAAGTGCTTGAAAATGCAGTTGCATTGGTTTCATATCAATTAGCTTTCTTACTGAATAGCAAATTTTTTACATAGCATAAGCCTGAAACAGCTCCGCTCGATTCTGCATGTGTGGCTGTAGTGTGATCTGCTGGTCTTTATTGACGCGCGCCCTCTGATGGAACACAATGCATAACATTTCTTTATGCACTTTTTTTTTTCTTCCCCAGCATTGAGCATTATAACAAATCACACACGTTTGTGTTGAGCGCAGAATAGTCACCAGTGAGGAAAAATCCGCAAAAAGCTACAGTTGTGTTCATATCATGCGCTCACTGAATGTATTCTGCACTCTCTCGAATACTGTCATCATAAACAGTGCAACGGATTCACAAATTGATCAATAATATAAAATACGCACGCATGTGATCATAGTTAATAATTGACGTAGGTTGCTGTAAAAATATTTTGGGTGAGCTGATTAACCTTTATGTTCTGCTTGGGGTCTCTGAGACCCCAGCTATAAAATATGATTCACTTTCTGTCCGGTGTTGAGGTTACAGTCCCTTGCATCAGGTGGGGTCGCGAAGCGCCGATTTTTTCAAACCAGCTGTCCTGACCTTCCAATACTGCATAACGTTCGAAGCCTCAAACGTCATCAATCACGTGATGTTGTCATTTCTATACAAGCATCGGCACAGTGTGCAGTGTTGCAAACTTAGCAATTTTGTTGTTAAATTTAGCAACTTTTCACACTACCCTATAGGGCTGTGCGATTTGGGGAAAATATCTAATAGCGATTTTTTTTGACCGATATTGCGATTGCGATTTGATTTGCGATTTTAAATTTGCAAAGTCAAGCTTCAGCTCAATATTGTCAATAATGTGCAGCACAGTATGGGTATCATTACCCTGCTGAAAAAAACAATAGAAACCATCACAGAAATTATTATAGTTTCCATTAAACCATTACAAAATTCCTTTTTGTTTTGGGCATTATTCCAATAGGAATTACTGTTGTTCTATTGGTTGCCATCTGCCAGATTACATCCCACCAATAGAATCCATCAAATAGACACCATTATAGTTTACATTAAAACCAATACAATTCCCATTATAACCTTGAAATCCATTAAATTTGTGTTTTGGGAGGGGTTCTATTGTTTTTTTTTTGTGAAATTAGCAAGCAGATAGACTGAATTTACATTCGTTTTAAACGCGGAGCCAGTATGTTAAAAGTTAAAAGAGGAGCGAGTATGAGAAGCATTCATGTGCGGTCTTCTGAATTGGGAATAGCGAACATGCATTATAAACTTATTTCAAATTAATCTGTTGGGGAGATAAAATGTGTAAGATAACGTTCAC